AAAATAGAATAAAATAATAACTTTTAATATCCATAGTAAGGTTAGCATAAAATTATTCATCTTAATACTGAATAAAAAATTGTTTTTATTGTTATTATTAATATTATTTTTGAAATTTAATAAAAAAGATCGGTTAAAAGGCTTCAAAAATTATCAATATTTAGTCTAAATTAATAAGATTTAATTTAAAGATAATCAATATAAGTTTAATTCATTGAAGAGAAAAATTAAGAATTAAAATTAATGTTATGCTCTTTAGATATACTAAATAATTTATTTAAATTAGAGCTTAAAAATAATACAGATTAATTATATTTACTATTAAAAAAATAAAATAACCTTTTAAGTTTTTATAATGTGGTAAAACAATCTTTTGTTGATTATATAGCATCCATAGAAAGTTTACATCTAGTAAAACTTGAGACAAAAAAATAATATAAAGAAATAATAAATAAAGAAAATATAGTTCTTTAAATATTAAAGTTTATTTAAAAACCATGCAGACTATATAATAGTGGATTTCAAAATCTTTTTAATGTAAAAATAAATTAATTAAAAAAAAAAAAACTTAAAAAAAATTAAAAAAGTAAAAGAATTATTTAAATATAAATGTTTTAGACGAAATTCTTTATTTTATTTTTAATCTTTTTGAATTTAAAAATAGTTTCTTTTAAGTTTTTGAAAATAATAAATATCATTAAAATCTAAAATTTTATGCCATTATAAAATAATGTATGAAGGCTTTAAAAAGTTTATGCAATTGTTATTTTATATAAAATAAAAAGTCATTATTAAATAATAAAAAATTCATATAATTATTAAATGGTTTAATTACAGAAACAAAAATAGACATATTAAGTGAAAATTTATATGATATAAAAGTGCTTTAAGCAATATCTTAATGTGTAGACTTACTATTAACTATAATTTAAATTTAGGATAAAGAGAATATTTTTTAGTTAATATAAATACTTAATTTAGATAAATTATTACTTATAATCAATTATATTTATCACACTAAAATTAAATTTAGATAGAATATAATATTATAAGAACTTATATGCAAACATGAAAATAATTATACATGTTCATTAAGTACATGTTATAAATAATATATTACTAAACATGAAATTACTATATTAGAATATGCTTTTAAAATTGTTTGTATTATTAAAATTATTCTTAATATAATTGATGACGAATAATTAAATGTATTTTTAAAATCTTAAAAAAAAAATACTGGGATAGGCGCTATTTACATAGAAATTAAAAATAAAAAAAATATGAAATTATTATTTAAAAATTATGTTGATAAAAATTCTAATTATTAAAATGTATAATAATATTTAAATAAATAATTTTTTATTAATAATAAATATATAAAAAGATTGCTAAAAGTATTGATTAAAATAATATATTTAGCAAATAATTTTTATACTTAAAAGAAAGCATTGTTTTTTATTTAAAATTTATTGGATAAGTAGAAGTTGTTAAAGATAATTAATTAACAAGAATATTTTTTAAATTACCCTTTACATCAAATTATTTTAATAAAAATTTAAAATCAGAATTACTATAAATAGTATTTTCATATTCATATAAAGTAAAATAAAATAAAATTCTATTTATATTCAAATATAAAAAATATAGTAAAATCTTTAACTATTAATTTAATACAGTTAATATTTTTATCGATAAATGAAGCATAAATAAATCATTTCATAATATACATTAATAAACTTAGCAATTTAAAATTTTTAAATATTAAAATATGTTACATTTACTTTACTTATAATAATTAATATAACATTGTTATTTACTTAAGATATTTAAATTAAATCCTTTTAATAAATAATATAAAATATCGAAATAGTAAAAATATATAATTTTTATTATATATATATATATATATATTTAATTTAAAAAAAGCCTTATTAATTGTTTTCAATAACTCATATAATTTTATCATTTATAATGTTTATTATTTAAATAATATAGCAATATCCTTATTTAATTTATTTAAAACATAAATAAATTTTATAAATGAAATAAAAAAATTATATATTTAAACTTATGTCTAATAAATGGATAATATTTATTACTGATTGCAATATATTATATTATTTCATATATTTTATAGTAGCATGTATAGCATAAATAAACATATTATTCAATGCCGTTTTGCTAATTGATTGTTTAAATATATTTAATTTTTATTTATAAATTTTAAAAGCCTAATTAGCAAACTTTTGGAAATTTATAATGATATTTTTAATTGGCTTTATAATAATCTACATTTATTCTCTAATCGGAGCTCATTTATATAAGAATTCATATGAAGATTAATAATTGTATAGTATTTTTATTCTTTCGTTAATTGAAGGATTATTGAATCCTTAAGGAATAAATTCTTATTTATAAGTTGTTACTTTAGGTATTTTTTGTTTTAATAAATTAAAAAATAATATTAATATTATTTTTTTAAAAAATAAGATTCAAAAGATTATTGGGGAAGATTTTTTTTTGATATAACCTTTTGGATTATTATAAATTTCATTTGTATATTTATGTTAATTGGATAAATTGTAGATTCAATTGCTTAATTAAGAATTAAAAATTAATCTAAAAATAAATTTTTTTAATAAAAATGCTATATTTGTAATTTAAGTATGCATGATTTCGAAGAAAGGAAATTAGATTGGGAAAATCATATTAATAATGAACATAATTTGTCTAATTATTTAAATTATATTAATTATTTAAATGATAGGAATATAGATGAATGCTATGGAATCGAAACATATGTTAAGGGATGTCTTTTGAAAAGAAAATCTGATTTTATCCCTTAGAAGAATTCATTAAGTTTCTAAAATAGTAATATTTAGAATTGATTTTTTTATTTTGATTGCATATTATTTTAATAATAATAAAAAAATTAATTTTTTTTTTTTTTTTTTTTTTTTTCATTAATATTTAAATTAATTTACATTTTATATGCAAATTGTTTTTAATTTAACATTTTTTATTTTAAAACAAATATATTTATTTATAAACGTTTATTTAAATTGAAAATGAATTAAGATTCACAGCAAGAAAAATATTTATAAGAGTTTATATAAAAAAATAAAAAGAAAAAGCAATAATGGGAAAAATTATTTAAACCAACAATAGAATTCAAAGAATTAAGTACTAACAGATAAAGAAATTTTAATGTTTAGAATACTTTAAGAAATTAACAATATGTTCCTTAAAATATAATTTATTCAGATATAGTAGTTAAGTAAAGTCATAGTAATAAAAAATAATAATATAGATTTTATTTGTTTATTTTTTTAAAAAAAGCTGGTCTATTAAGCCATAAAAGGTTATTAATTTTATAAAATGGAGTTTTATCTTATTTTTCTAAAGTTCCTTAAAATTTAAACTGTAAGCAACAAATACATATATATATATACATAAATAATTTTTTTGTTAACAAAATAAAATAAAAAAAGAAGAAAATTAATATGAATTAATTAAAACAATAATTGAATTACCTAAAGCATCAATTTATGTAAATAAGATATATTCAGTAGAACCATCATTTGATAATAAGAAACAAAATCAATTTATATTAACATTTAATACTGAAGATAAAATAAATAAATCTCATTTAACATAAAATAATAAAAAAGATAATAAAAAATTATAAATTAAACATGCTTAAAAAATAACAAAATGGACATTTACATGTGATACAAATGAAAAAAGAAATAAATGGGTATTTTTTTGAAATAAAAAATAAAAAAAATATAAAAAAGATTTAAATGATACATTTTGCAAAAATACCTCCATTAAATGTTGATTTAGAAAAAGAAATAAGAAGACAAAAAGAAGAATTAGAACGCGAAAATTAAGAAGAAATAAAATTAAAAAAAAATTAATAAATAGAAAAAATGCTTAAAAAACTAGAAGTAGAATAAAAAGAAAGAATTCGTTTATAATAAATACAAGAAGAATAAAAAAAACAAGAACTCCAATAAGAATAAGAATAAGAATTAGAATAAGAATAAGAATTAGAAATATAAAAAACAATTAAATAGCAAGAAGAAGAAGAAGAAATGTTTAAAAAAGAAGAATATTTATGTGAATTAACTTAGTAATAATATTAAACATATTAAGAAGAAAAAGATTAATTACAAATAAGTATAAGAAAAAGTATATATAAAAATAAAAACTAATAATATTAAGAAGAAATAGAAGCATAAAGTATAAATTAGAGTATATATAAAATAAATAAATAAGAAGAATAAACAAAATAAAAAAGTATGTTAAAAGAATTAATTTTTAAAGAAGAAAATAATAATAACTTTGAATAAATTTAAAAATATTAAGATTTTCTAGAAAATATTTGTTAATAAAAAAACTATTAAAATAACTCTTATGATGAATAAGCATTTCTCTCCAAAAATAAGGCCTTATATTCACACATTAAATAATTTAACGAAAAAACTAAATAAATTTCCATTTAATTAATCGAAGAGGAATCCTTACCATATGACTAATAAAAATATAAAGAAATTATCAATCTAAATGAAATTAATTAATTTTTTTCACAACAATCTAATACTAAAGTATATATAATAGACAACATAGCATTCAAATTAGCATTCTCAAGTATGAAATCAGAAGAGGTATTTGACGAAATAAGCAATAATTATTAATAAATATCTATTTATGATGAAGAATCTATTAAATAATTAAAAAATGAATTCAGAGCATATAATAAACTAAATAATGGCATCATAAACATCTTGTAAAATAGTTCTAAATTTAATTGTTTTACACTTAGAGTACCTTTAGTTAATATTTTGGAATATAAAGGGGTATTAGTATTGTCTTTATCAATCCCTAATATAAATAAAGAATATGGGCTAATAAAAGGGTTTGATGCAAGCAAATAATATATAAACAAAAGTAACTTATAAATAGAATAAGATTTAGTAAAATTAGGAAAAGAAATGAATTTGTAATTAGAAAAATGCTAATAAATAAGCATCTATTAAGATTCGTAAAATTAAAATATTAATTATATACTCAAAGTTCAAAATTTATTCCCTATTGAAGTAAATATAAATAATAATAGTCTCAATTTATGGTAGAAAATAAGGCCAGAATATTTAATTGGATATGAAAAAATTTTAAACTCGGATTGCTTTTTTAATCATTTTAATTCTGAAAATGATGAGTTGGAACTATCGGAAGCTTCTTAGATATTAAGAGAAAATTATTTAATGGAGTTTTGTGAAAAAATGGAAAATTTGGATTTCTTGCCATTAGATTCTTATTAAATATCAAATGTTTTACATGAAAATGGAGTTAATGTTAGGTTTTTAGGTGAAATATACAAATTGAGTAAGCTGAAATTTATTAAAGAGTTATGTCAAGTAGAAATTGTTTCAAGAATTTGTAAAAAAATACTAAGGAATAATATTTATGATTGCAAAAGAAATTTCTTTTAAGGAGAGATGAAAAATTTTTAAATTAATATAAAAACAAATAAAATGTAATAATGGAAAAAAAGTTAAGATAATAATTCAAATTTTAAAAGTATTAATAATGAAAGTTAAGAAGATGACAAAAAAAAAAAAATTTAAAATTGTCATAATTATTTAATAGAAAATTTACTTGATTTTCTTAATTTATTATTGGGTTCAGGTTAGGAAACTTAATATTTTTGGAATTAAATTATAAGTAATAATTTTATATATAATATATATATATATATATATATATATATATATATATATATATATATATACATATATATATATTTTCATCTATTTTTTTTATCTATTTAGATAAATAAGCTATTGTAGATTTCAAATGTTAAATTAATTAATAGGATATAATTAATGGAGGTTTATTAAACGCTATTAAATATCATTGCAATATAGATTTTGATTTTGATTTGAATATAGATATATTCGATTGTACTTAACCTTTAAAAAAAGAAAATATTAAAGGTTTTTTATGTACATAGAAATCATATGATTAAAGTGCCCTTTTAATAAATAGACTTGGTTCAAAATATAAATAATAGATGTCTTAAAATTAAAATGAATAAGCATTTTAATCTTTAAATTATATTCTTCATGTATAAGAATGGAATAATGAAAATTTATTTTATTTCATAAAACTTTTATCTGATTAAAGTGAAATATTATTGAATTTTTATAATTTTGAATAGTCTATTGAAAAAGCCCATTTTATTTTAAATATAGCACCTAAATATCATATATGCTAATTAAAAGCATTAGGAAATTTAATAAAGGCAAAATTAATGAAAAAGGAAAATTAAAAATGTATCGAATACTTTGATAAAGCAGTTTAAATTATTGAATTTAATTTAGGATAAGCTCATCCTATGCATAGTATTTTATATAGTATTTTAGGATATTTTTATTTTTAAAAAAAATAATATGATGACGCTTTGTCTTTATATAAAAGTAGTCTTATGAATAGTAAAAAATCTCTTGGATAATATCATTTATAGACAGCTGAAATTTATAAAGATATAGGATTAGTTTATATGAAAATGGGCGAATAAGAAAATGCTTTTACAAACTTTATTAATGCATCGTAAATATTTTAAAAATAAAATAAATTGAAGTCTTTGTAATATGCTAATTTAATCACTTAAATTGCTAATTTGTGTATTGTTTAAAGTAATTAAATTTGTAAATATCAATAATTATTTATATATATATTTTTCTTTTAACAATTTAAGATAAGTTATAAGAAAGTTTGTACTATTGTAACATAAGTGTTAGTATATATGAATATTATTAAAAGACACATTAAAAAGATTTAATAGACTCTTAATTGATTTTGCGTAGAATTTATGAATTGACATAAAAATGGGATAAATGTATTGAAATAGCTGATTATATTTATAATTTAATATAAAATATTCAATAGGATGAATAATATATTTAATAAATATATGAAATTATAATAAAGACGCTTTTATAAATACATGTTTTTAATTCTAATGGAAACTAAATAAACATGTTAAAAATTTTAACTTAAACAATAGAAAATGTGATAAAAGAAGAGAATTAAATCGAAAACATTTTTAGTTATGAAATTATATTATATAAATAATCATTTTAATATTTGTACAATATACTGCAAAATAAAAATATTAATATTTCTAAATTTATATAAGAAACTATTGATTGTATTATATGCAATCATTAACTTATATTAAATCTTGAATTTTGTGAATTCTATAGAGATAATATATTAAATTTATAAAATTGTTAATTGAAGTTGTAATGATTTTTTTAATTAAAGAATAATAATATATATAATAACATTTAATTATTTTATATTTATTTATTTTTTTAATAAATATTAGGGCTTTTAAAAATTTTGAAAATATATAATATTTTATAGGAAGTAATTTTATTAAAGAAATTATTTAAAAAATCTGAAATAAAAAAATTTATTAATATAATATATTTATTGTTAGAAATTACTATTTTATATGAGCAATTAATTAACATTTTAAATATATATTTATTTATAAATATATTATTTTTTATTAATCATATTTTAAAAGTTTATTTTTGCATTTAATCAACCATTTACAATATATTATTTTTTAATAATATTTATTTAATTTGTAATTATCCTTGAAAATACTTATTATATTATATAAATAAGATATTTATATTTTTTTTTAATATATATATATTTATATACATAAAATTATTTTATAAAACAATTAAATTATTATTATATATTAATATTATATTTATTTAAAAAATATCTTTTTATTAAATTAATTTAAATAATTATAAATAAAAAATATATAGATTGAATATAAAAAAAAGAAAAAGAAATTTTAACACCAAAAAGTAAAAAATAAGAAAAAAAATTAAAAATTAAATAATATAATATATAAAAGTTGTAAAATAAAAAAAATGGATAATTAAGATTCTTCATAAATATAACTTTAAGAATCAAAATCCAAAGAATTAATATAAACTGTTTTAGGTGAAGAACTAGAGCCTTTAAACATGTACATATCATCTCTATGTACTACTCTTTTATAAGTAGATTCTGATTTTTATCATAAAATACTCCATTAAGAATCAAACTAATTGCAAATATCTAAATTTGTCCAAGAATCTCACCAAAAGATATTAATAGTTTCTAAAGGAGAAAAAAACCCTAAAGATGAGAAAAGCCTGATATTTATAAATTTTTCTTTAGAAATAAATACTACGGACATAACTTGTCATTCTATAGCTTTTATAAAAAGACCTAATTTCGCATTATAATAAAATTTCAGTGGATATTCTAATCTTTTGTAAATTATTAACTTAGGATATTATGGACATGATTCTTCTCCTGTATCTATAAACCATTTATATGTACAGAATTTCTTCCTACCTGTATTCAATAACTATAGAAACGATTTTGAATAAAAAGCTCCTAATAATAAATAAGCTTATTAATCTCTTCTTAAAAAATTAAATGAATTTAACTTAGCTTTAATTTAATGTTAATAAAATGTCGAAGTTCCAGAAATTGTTCTTTATTTAGATCCTACATTAAGAGAAAGGGTTCTATAATTAAAACAATAAGGAAAAACAGCAAGTGTAAATGATTTCGAAAATCTTTTGAATAACGAAGATTTTATTAATAATTTATGCTAATGTGTCACTAAATGGACAAAAGATATATAAGCAGTCATTAAAATTAATTATGATGTAAAAAAAATAATTATAAAAATATATAATTATATTTAAATTTTCAAAGGTTAGTAGTGGTACAACGTTATAGGAAATAAATTATTGGTTAAGTTACGAGAGAAGTTTAAATTTGATAAATTAATAAATAAATCTTCCCGAAGTCTAATTAACAATCGATATATTAAAATAAAAGAAGAAATTTACAATAACCATGACATTCGAAGAGGATTTAAAATTCAAAGAATAATTACAAAATTGTCAAAAATGTAATGCTTTTATGAAAGAATTTCCATTAAATGATTTATTATCAGCCGGGACATTAGCCGAAGTTAAAAATTCAATTACTTTTATATATAACCATATGAAAAATATTCGATCTATAAGTTCTTATACTACAAGGGCCTTTGATTTATTAGAAACCTTATCAAGAGATTTAAATAATTAAATGACTAAAATTCTAGGCAATTATAAACTTATGACTATGAATTATGATCATTTTATTGATTTAATGAAAGAGTGTGATGAAATTTTCAAAAGATGGGAAAAAGAATATGCAGCTTTTAAATAAAGTATTTAATATAAAACTTAAACTTCAAGGTATTTCCTACATGTTGACTTTTTGTAAAAAAGACTCAATTTAATTCAAGAAATTAGGAAATTACACTTCACATTAAATGAAGTTATTTAAAATATTATCAATAAGGAAAAAAGCGGTGATAGATTTGGAGATGCAAGCTTTTTGTCTACAAAGGAAATTAATGAAGCTTATAGTATTTTTGATGATATTGATATTTTGAATTCAACAGATGAAGGCGAGTTGTCAGTTAAATAAGCAAAGAATTAATATGAATAAAGAATTGATCAAATAGAAATTAAAATTACTTCACAACTAAGAGATAAATTAGGTCAAGCCAAAGAAAATGCAAATGAAATGTTCAGAATCTTTAATAAATTTAATAAGCTTTTTGTGCGCCCTCATATAAGGGGAGCTATTTAAGAATATTAATCCGATTTACTTGAAAAGGTTCAAAAGAAAATTACTTAACTAAGAGAGAAATTTGTAAAAAAGTATAATAATACTGAAAATGCAGTGATATGTTAAGTAATTTTTAAAAAAAATTATACATATATATATATATATATATATATATATATATATATATATATATATATAAAATATATAAATCTATTCAAAATACTAATAAATTTATATTTTTATTTAATTAAAAGGTTAGGGATGTTCCTAATATTGCCGGAAGTGTCATCTGGGCAAATTAAATGGTAAAAAAATTAAACAAATATATGGAAAAAGTTGCTGATGTATTAGGAGATAAATGGACTGAACATCATTAAGGATAAAAATGTAAAGAAGATTGTGAAGAATTTAAGAAATTTTTAAATATTTAACCTATTGTAGATGAATGGAATAACGAAATATTAAACCTAAACCAAGCTACTGCCGAAAATGAACGCATTTTCAAAATAGTTTAAAAAAGAAAACTTGAATTAGTAGTAAATTACGACGAAAGATAAATTAATCTATTTAAAGATATTAGAATTTTAGAATTGTAGAAATCTAGGCATAGTACATCTTTAAAATATGTTGCTAATAAAGCCAAAATGATATATCCATATGCTATGTCTATATAGGAATCAATATAGTCTTATAATTAGATTGTTTCCTAAGTAGATGATAAGATGAAAAAGCTTGTAACTTCCCATAAGTTAAAAATACATCAAACAATAAAAAAAGGAATGGTTATTAACTGGAATAGTAATAATTTTATTGCTAATTATACTAAAGATTTGGCTGATGTTGTATTAAAATTGGAAGAAGCTGTTAATGGTTTAAATGATTTTGGTTAATAAATAGAATCAATACTTGCTTTTTTGAAAACATGTAATACAACTTATGAAACATTTAAAGAAAAATTAGGATAAATTTAAAAACTTATTGATGAATTTAACCTTAGAGGATATTCTAATTTACATATATGGGTACCTGAAATAGATTCAAAAGTGGAAAATATTCTTGGGGAAAGATTAGTCTAAATGATCAATAAATGGATGGTAGAATTTGAATAATATTATTAAGTGGAAAAAAGGGAATTTATAGAAATGTATACGAAACATGAATTAAAAATTAAAGATTAAATCATATAAATTGATCCTCCTATCGAATATGCGAGATATTATTGGTTTTAATAATTTAATCAGATGTTAGGTATTGTTTGTACATTACCAAGGTATAAATAATATTATTTTTTTAATTTATTTTAAATAATATGTATAAATGTATATATATTTTAGATTAGAAGCAACTAGATATGAAACTTCTATATAAACGGTAGATAGTAATAGAGTATTAGATTACTCCTCAATTATAGGAAAAATATAAAAAGATATTATATAATAAGCTTATGGCAGATTAGATCAAGTACTAAAAGATAGTGAAAATTATGTAAATACATGGTTAAGTTATTAATCTTTATGGTAAATTGATTAAAAAAAAGTTTACGAATTACTAGGAGATGATATTGGTAAATGGTAGTAATTATTATCTGAAATAAAATAAGGGAGAAGTACTTTTGATAATTCTGAAACAGATATTTATTTTGGAGCTGTTTTAATTGATTATAAATTAGTTCAAACAAAAATAAACAATAAATACGATTAATGGCATAAGGATATTTTAGATCATTTTGGACACACTTTTGGAGATAAATTAAGAGATTTTTACTCAAAAATATCGAATTCGAGAATCAAGTTAGAAAAAATAAACTTCAAAAATACTAATAATACTGATATTACAATATAAATTACTGAAGTAAAAGAAATGATGGGAAAATATCAAGAATGGTCTAATGAAATTGAAGTTTTTAGGACAGGATAGAAATTATTAGAAAGATAAAGGTTAATATAATTAATTTTTTTTTTAAAAAAAAAAAATGTAATTATTTTTGTTATATAGATTTGTTTATCCATAAGATTGGTTATGGTTAGATTAAGTAGATGGAGAATGGTCGAATTTTAAATAATTAGTACACAGATAGAATTAATAATTAGATAAAGAAATACCTAATTTATAAACTAAAATATTATAAGATGAAGCTGTATTGAATGAAAAGATAAAAGAACTAGATGATATATGGAAAACTAAAAAACCTTATTCAGGAAGCATAATGCCTGGAGAAGCACTAGATGCATTAAATATTTGCAGTGGATTTTTGGGCAGAATTAAAGATAGTTACTCAAATTGTTGTAAAGCGAAATTATTATTAAATTTAGAACCAGGAAATATGCAAAAACTAGATGATTTAGAAGAAGAAATTGTCGGTTTAAAAGAATTTTGGATTGAAATGAATAAAGTTTGGTAAGGAATTGAAAATTTAAGAGATACTCCTATAAATGCTTTGTAGTTTAAAAAAATAAAAGAAGCAATGGATAATGCTAATAAGTATATGAGTGAAATGCCTACTAAATATCACTCATATGATGCTTATGAAGATACTAGATAAAGGTTAAAAAATTATGTCAAAATGAATAAAATTATTGAAAATTTAAAAACTGAAGCTATTGAAATTAGACATTGGGAAATTATATTGAAAAAAATGAAAGTAATTAAAAATATTAATATAATATATGTTTAATATTTATTTAAAAAAAATATATTTTAATACAGATTCGAGCTAATTTTAATGATTTAACACTCGGATTTTTATGGAAAGACGAATTAATATTCAAATACGAAAAACCTATAGAAGAAGTAATAGTAGTAGCTTAAGGAGAATTTGTATTAAAATGCATGATTAAAGGCGTAAAAGATTTCTGGAATACTTTTGAACTAGAACTTGTAAGGTATTAAAGTAAATGCTAATTAATTAAAGGTTGGGATGAATTATTTGCTAAACTAGATGAAGATTTAGGCACTTTAGCTTCTATGAAAATATCTCCTTATTATAAATAGTTTTAGGAAGAAATAGGACCATGGGATGATAAATTATAAAAAATAAGAATTTTATTAGATTCATGGATTGATGTATAAAGAAAATGGGTTTATTTAGAAGGAATATTTTTCGGATCTTCAGATATAAAGATTCAATTATAGAATGAATATAATAGATTTAAAGGAATAGATAGCGAGTTTATATCTTTAATGAAAAAAGTTGCAAAAACACCATCTTTATTGGAAGTAATTGCAATTCCTGGACTTTAAAAAACTCTGGAAAGACTTGCCGATTTATTAGCGAAAATATAAAAGGCTTTAGGAGAATATTTGGAAACTTAAAGAAGTGCATTTGCGAGATTTTATTTCATAGGAGATGAAGATTTACTAGAAATTATTGGAAATAGTAAAGATGTAACTAATGTTCAAAGACATTTCCCAAAAATGTATGCAGGAATAACAACTTTAATTTCGATAAAAAATGATAAAGGAGATAGTATTATTCAGGGAATGAATTCTAAAGAAGGAGAAAGTGTAAGGTTTGAATTAGAAATAAATGTAGGTGATGACCCTTAAATAAATGTCTGGTTGAGTAAAGTAGATGATTAAATGAGACTTTCATTAGCTACAAATTTATAAAATTCAATAAAGGATATTGCAGCAATAGAATAAGGAGATGATACAGCTTTACTAGATATAATAGCTAAATAACCAGCATAAACAGGATTATTATCATTATAAGTAAAAAAAAAAAATATGTGAATATAAAATGAAATATAAATTTATGAATATAAAAAAAAAATATATATATAAAATTATATATAAATAGTATATATATATATATATATATATATATATATATATACATATTTTAAATTATAGGTTTTTTGGTGTAGTAGAGTTGAAAAAGGTTTTGAAACAAACTAATTAAGCGAAGTAGTTGATTATATTATAAGATTTTTAAGTATTTTAGCAAGTAATGTCATAAAAGATTTAAAGAAAGACCTTAGATAGAAATTCGAATAAATAATTACTGATTTTGTGCATTAAAGAGACGTTACTCGTAGTTTATTATAAAAAAAAGTTGATAATGCAAAAGATTTTTCCTGGTAATATCACATGAGATTTACTTGGTATATAAAAGAATAAGATCCACTAAAAAAACTTCTTATTTAAATGGCTAATGCATAATTCCATTATGGTTTCGAATATCTGGGTGTTGGTGAAAAACTAGTATAAACATAACTTACTGATAAATGCTATTTAACACTTACTTAAGCACTTCATCTAAGAATGGGAGGTTCTCCATTTGGACCAGCAGGTACTGGAAAGACTGAATCTGTCAAAGCTTTGGGAAGTTAATTAGGTAGATTTGTTTTAGTTTTTAATTGCGATGAAACTTTTGATTTTCATGCTATGGGACGTATTTTTGTTGGTTTATGTTAGGTAATAATATTTATATATTTTTTTTTTATATTTATGTTTTATTATATATTTGATTAGGTTGGTGCTTGGGGATGTTTCGATGAGTTTAATAGATTAGAAGAACGTATGTTATCAGCTTGCTCTTAATAAATTTTAATTATTTAAAGCGGCTTAAGAGAAAGACTTAATAAAATAGATTTAATGAACAGAGATGTTAAATTAAACTCTAAAATGGGTGTTTTTGTTACTATGAACCCTGGTTATGCTGGTCGTTCGAATTTACCGGAAAATCTAAAATAACTATTCAGATAAATGGCTATGGTTAAACCTGATAGAGAATTAATTGCTTAAGTTATGTTATATTCTTAAGGATTTAAGACTGCAGAAAAATTGGCTGGAAAAATAGTTTCTTTATTTGAATTGTGTAATGATTAATTATCTTCATAACCTCATTATGATTTTGGATTGCGTGCATTAAAATCAGTACTTGTAAGTTCAGGAAATATGAAAAGACAAGAATCTTCATAAATTCAAAATTTAAATAATTTCACTGAAAATGAATTAAAAGTTAATAAAAAATATATATTATATTATATACATATAAATAGGAATTTGAATAAAAAATATTATTAAGAAGTGTATGTGAAACAATTGTCCCTAAATTAATATCCGAAGATGTCCCTTTGTTATCAAATTTACTGTCCGGTGTATTCCCTGGTTCATCAATTCCTGAAATAAAAGAAACCGAACTCCGTAAAGAAATAGAGAAAGTATGTCAATAACGTAATTATTTATCAACTGAACCATTTATGTAAAAAGTACTTTAGCTTTACTAAATCTAGCGTCTACATCACGGTGTAATGATGGTTGGACCTTCTGGTTGTGGAAAAAGTATAGCCTGGCGTATTTTGTAAGAAGCCATGTATAGAGTTGATAAAGTGAAAGGTGAATACTATATAGTGGACCCTAAAGCAATTATAAAAGACGAGTTATATGGAAAATTAGATAATACAACTTTAGAATGGACAGATGGTGTTTTTACAGGTATTTTAAGAAAAATAACTGAAAATGTAAGAGGTGAATCTACAAAAAACCACTGGATTATTTTCGATGGAGATGTAGATCCTGAATGGGCTGAGAATTTAAATTCTGTTTTAGATGATAATAAATTGCTTACATTACCAAATGGTGAAAGAATTGCGATTCCACCAAATGTTAGAATTATGTTCGAAGTAGAAACTTTAAAATATGCCACTTTGGCTACTGTATCTCGTTGTGGTATGGTCTGGTTTTCGGATGAGATTGTCACATTTAATATGATTTTCCATAATTACATAAATAGACTTAAATAAGAAAATTACGACGAAATCCCAAAAGAAGATGAAGAAGAGAAACAAAAATAAAATAAAAAGGAAACACCAGAAAGTATTACTAGAAAATAATGCGTAGATGCCATTTAAGGTCTTTTTTTAGATAATGATCTATCTTTTGCTTAATAATTAGTCGATTTGGCTCTTAAATTCCCTCATGTAATGGAATTTACAAGAATTAGAGTATTAGAAGCTTCATTTGCTTTATTAAGAAAAGGTATTTCTAATGTAATTGAATATAATGAATAGAGAATTGATTTCCCTTTAGAAAATGAAATCTTAGTTAAATATATGTAAAAATGGGCGCTATTTTCTTTAATGTGGGGTGTTGCAGGATCCATGACACTCTATTAAAGATAATTATTTGGTGAATAGGTTGCTAAATTTTGTCCTGTAGATCTTCCTAATGTAACAAAAAATATACATATATACCATAATAAATAATATATAAAATAAAGGTTGGACCAGGATAAGAAAGTTTAATTGATTTTGAAATTAGAATTGAAGATGGAAATTGGTATCCTTGGAAGAAAAAAGTTCCTGCAGTAGAAATAGATCCAATGAAAGTAACCGATGCTGATTTAATTATTACAACAGTCGATACATTAAGACATTAGGAAGTCTTATGTTCCTGGTTGAGTGAACATAGACCTTTTTTACTTTGTGGACCTCCCGGTTCTGGTAAAACAATGACTTTAATGAGTACATTAAAATCTTTACCTGATTTTGAGATGATTTTTGTGAATTTTTCGAGTTCTACTAATCCTTATTTAATATTGAAATAATTCGAATAATATTGTGAATATGTAAAAACTACCTAAGGTATGATTTTAAGACCTAAATAACCTAATAAATGGCTAGTTGTATTTTGCGATGAAATAAATCTTCCTGATATGGATAAATATGGTACTATGACTGTTATTACATTTTTAAGATAACTTACTGAATAGAAAGGATTTTGGAGACCAAATGATAAATAATGGATTTCTTTAGAAAGAATATAATTTGTAGGGGCATGTAATCCTCCTACTGATATAGGAAGAAAACCTTTATCTTCAAGATTTTTAAGACATACTCCTTTAATTTTAGTAGATTTCCCCGGGCCAGAATCTTTGAAGTAAATTTATGGTACTTTCAACAGAGCGATGTTAAAAAAAGTTCCTAGTTTAAGGAATTATGCAGATTCTTTAACTAATTCAATGGTTGAATTTTATACTAAATCTTAACTACATTTCACTTCAGATATATAGCCACATTATATTTATTCACCAAGAGAATTAACTAGATGGAAATATGCAATCAATGAAGCTTTGGAACCTTTAGAAACTCCAGAAGATTTAGTTCGATTATGGGCACATGAGGCTATGAGATTATTTGAAGACAGGTATATAAATATAAATAAAAATATGTATGTAATAATAAAAATAGACTTGTAAAAGATGAAGAAAAAGAATGGTGTGAAAAATTAATAGATTAAATATCTTAATCTAATTTTCCTAATGTAAAATAATAAGCCTTAGATCGTCCTATATTATTTACGAATTATTTAACAAAAAGCTACAAAACTGTAGAACGAGAAGAATTACGAAAATACGTAATTGCCCGTTTAAAAATATTTTACGAAGAATAAATAAACGTCCCCATAGTAGTGTTCGACTCCGTTTTAGAGCATATTCTTAGAATAGATAGAGTTTTAAGACAACCTTTAG